GTTCACAACCACGCCTGAAATCTCGATTATCACTTTATCATGCGAGAGTATAAAATGTTCGGTGACACCCGAACTTAGCCCTTCCTTACTTGTTTTTTATTATTTTAAAATATATTATTATTGTATATATCAACCTTTCATTGTGTTATTACATTTAAATACTTTTACACATTATTTTCCTCTCTTAGTATTTGTGTAAGAATATCAATTTTATGGATGCTTATTTATTACTTCCAAAGCCAAGTTATGGCTGTATCTGCTATCATTTAACATTTTCATTGCACCGCCGCCGTAACAATGTTAATGGTTATTAGGGTGCTTCAAAAAAATGTTTGATTTTTTTTTCATCTCTTATCCCCTTATATATTATGTTAGTGATTGACAAAAAAATCTTCTCTCAAGCCCGGCGCTGTTGCTTAACTCTTAGGGGTCGTTTCTTTTTTTTTTAGGTTCCCATTCATTTAACATAGCAATTTTCGTTTTTTCATTCAAACTAAAACTTCACCAATTAATTTTCAATTCTCAAAATTAACCATCACATATTCAGAAAGTTGGCTTTTCAAACTTTAAAAATTTCTGCGACAAAGTTTGATATCTCAATTAGACGATTAAACATAGTGATTTGAAATTTAGAATTTTTTCAATAAAAATAAAAAAATAATTCTCACAAAGACCCACACTCATACATACATTTATAAAAATCGTTTGACTTTTCAGCATAGTTATCAGATGCATTAGAATGCCCATATGCTATACTTTATTTATAGCAATATATTCATACAGACGTGTACATACGTGTACATATGTAATTGAAAATGTTTTCCATTTGACTCCTCACTACTGATAGCGGCTTTTGTTCGCTGCAGTTGTTTTCTGATTGACAAATCCATATTGTTTGAATATTTACTGTATGTACTCAAGTGTGAATAGATTTGCTATGCAGACACATAGCATGCATAAACAAGTGTCACCTATGTAAACTAGAAAGTACAGCAGGCAATAAATTGCAGTAGATAAGTAAACGCCCCCATTTATAAAACAAATAGGTAAGAATATGCTAAGTACATAGATGATTATAACAAAACGCTTACGTAGCGAGTTATCATAATTCCTTATACATACATATGTACATACAGACATACGTACATACATACCTATATATGTATATGATAGATATTTATGCACGCTAGTTATAAAAGTCTACTGACTAATTTTCACTTCAGTTGTCAATAAAAGTCATAGTAACACGGCCGTTCTTCAAATAAAGTGAAAAACTCCACCCGACATTATCTATGTTCAGTCGTTAATTCTAAAAAATATTAATAATCTGTAAGTGTATTTGTGTGTCGTATAAAAATACATACATTCCATATTATCGCAACGGCAAAGTTTTTGTGGGTAAATTGGGACAATTTTTTCTAAAAAGTTTTTCTCATTTTCTAAAGTCACGTTATGCATTAAAAATAGAAATAACACTAAAACATTTTCTATCGGTTCTCATATTTTTATAAACCTGTGTAGATAATTTGAGTACATTCCCAAAGACATGGGAAACCTTATCAGTTAGCTTTTAGTGTGGTATAATGTATATGCGTGTGGTGATGAACTAAATTATCAATGAACACAAAAATGTAACCTGTTATTAGGTAAGTGGAATACACTGAATTGTTTCAGGGTGACAGTCAGCATATGCATTGGTTTGTATGAATGTAAAGTAAATAATTTTATATATGTATATGTAGATACTTATGTACATATGTAGACAAATGGAATACAATGCAGCAAATAAAGTGACAGAAGTGAAATATGTTATTATTATATAAGGTTTTGAAATTAGCTAAAAGAATTTTGGCTGCGGTTTAGATTTTAGAATAGCATTAAGGAGCAAAGTTATATTCTGTGGTCCTTAAATAAATTATTATGTTCATGTGACCACAAATAGTGTACATACATACTTACATACATATGTATGAACGAAAGATATATTAATTAATGCACACATATGTATGTATATTTTAAAGTGAAAAACACGTGTTTTACAACTTATCGACCAACCGACTTCAAAAATACAGTTTCGAGAAAAACGCGTTAAAGACGACGCACTTAGTCTAACTAGCTTCAATCGCTCAAGTTCTCAAGGATGTAGCTTCGGAACTTTTATTCGGATCAAACTGAAAATTTAGGACAATATTCTAGAAGTGTTGTAGAAATTAATAAGACAATAAAAATTAAATAAATATAACCCTCTAGTTATAATTAAATTAATATAAAAATAATCAATATTATTTTTAATTTAAAGTATTGAAAAGCGAAATTTTCGGTTAAATCAAGAATTTTGGGCTGAAAAGTTTGAAAAAGTTGGCGTGGCCTAATCTCTAATAGATTTAATGAACAAATCTCCTAGACTACTAAAGCTTTAATGGCCAAATAGTTGAAATCGGCTGATAAACCCGCCCATTCCCCATATAACGGTACTGTTAAAAACTACTAAATTAATACCTAAATCTGCCAGAGACATTAAATATTACAGTGCAAAAATGGATGAAACCGCGCCCACTTCCCATATAACAGAATTTTAAATTCCATTTTACACTTTACTTTCCAGTTTACAAATCAAGAAGCAATTAATATAGCGTAGCCATCTAATAAATTGTCCAAATCCAACAAAACTGATCGAACTGTGGTTAGGTACCAGACCCTAGTACTTATAGTTGACTTTTTACGACAAATAACAGTCAATGTGTGAGATTTATAATTGAAATTCTGCGATAATATTTTCCTGATAATGTATGTTTGTATAAAATGGGTTGAATCGC